GAGAGTGGGGGGGGGGAGAGAGAGAGAGAATGTGGGGAGAGAGAAAGAGAGAGAGGGCGCCCATTTGATTTTCTAAAGTACCGTTTTCTTCTACGAATCTGGCGCGATCCGTCTGCTTCTCCATGCGGCGTCCCTGCCGTCGCGACGTCTGACGTTTAAATTCTCTCTTGTCGCTCGATAAAAATCAAATCGGCCGCGCGGTATCTCGACATACCACGCCGAGACGAGATCCCCGTATCTTCTCTAACGGATGTCAACCCCCGTCTCGCGCGAGGAAACGGTCTTGACAGCGCGTCGTGATTTCTAAGAGAGCTGGAATTTGTACTCCGTTCGGAGGAAACAAATAAAAAAAGAAAATTGAGAGTTTCTTTAGGAGATATTTCTGTTTACGATTACGTTACGTGATGTGTATCGTCCCACGAGGACTCGCGCCGTTAATCTTATGCTTGTAAATCGATTTTACGGCCGTTCCAATTTGTACGAGCGGCATGCTTTTACGATATCTCTCACCGTACCGCAGCGACACTCCTCGTCGCATTTCACGTGGACGCGCCATTCTGAGATGACTCGGAAACGGCGGGGAAAATTGCCGGGGTGCGACAATTTTTCCTTCCTTTTCGACTTGTAGCTTCTTGAGAACGATGACACTTTTCTGCAGCGTGATTTGCCTGGAAAATTCGTTTTCATACGGAAAAACAAGTCTCACCATATTAATAGTCGTTACTTTAAATTTGTCTCAAGTGAGATACTCAGAGTTCAATTTAGATGAGAATTTTTCAGTTGAATCGTGACTACAGATATAAATGTCATACTTATCATAATTTAGCTAAAAAAATTGGATCTGACTCTGAGTAAAAATTTGAGTATCTCATCTGAGACAAATTTCAGGTAACGACTATTAATACGGAGGTAAAGTTAGATGTGAATCTCTCTCAACTGAATTGCGCTTGCGAGTATAGTGTCGCATATATTGTGTGATTTCAAGTAGAGAACTTCAATCTAACTCTAAATTTATGTCTTACAAGTAAATTTATTCAAAAATTTATTCATACTCTGATTTCTTCCTAATTTGGCATAAATGTAGAAGTACAAATAATATTTAGATATTATATTTATTAGATATTAGATATTATATTACATATTTTTTCATTTTGGTCCACTTTGAATTTCACAGGCAGTTTATAGCTTTTTAATGTTCGCACTTCTATCATCATCAAGTACAACAAAAATGCATAAGAAATAAAAAAATTGAATATAATTAAATAATTTTAACAAAATCGGCATGAGATACGAGCCATCTTAAATTTCTTTAGCCGAGATTCCAACCGAAATATTTCAAATCTATGCTAAATTAGTAAAAAATAGTTCGAATCTCGACCAAACCGAGAAATTATTTGTATAAATAATTTTTTTTCAACTTCTTACATGTTTTGTTTAAATATTTTATTATTTATACAAATAATTTTACACATTTGACTTCATATTCATTATCAGCAAACCAAAAACGCCTATATCTTGTATTCAATTTTATTTCTTATGCATTTTTATTGCACTTGATGATAGGAGTGATAATGTTAAAAAGCTATAAACTGCCCGTGAAACTCAAAGTGCGCCAAAATGAAAAAATATGACTTAAATATTCTTTGTATTTCTACATTTGTGCCAAATTAGAAAGAAATCGGTGTGTAACTTTTGGGTAGGTTTACTTGTAAGTATCTCATGTGCGACAAGTTTGAAGTAGGATAAGAGTCAGATGGAAATTCGACGACGAGAAATCGTATCTCTGTTATCGTAGTCGAGAACTTTGGTCTGAACTTTGGTCAGCCGCGTTAAAACTTGATTGCAATGACCGAGAACAATCGACTGAGTGGAAACCTCCTATAGGAATCTTTCTGTTCCTGCAAACAAGTTTTTCCTCGCCCTTACCAGGCAGCGAAAAATTCAGTTACACCCGCGGAATTGGTTTCTCGTACGGAATTGTGTACACGAAAAGAAAGATTTCAGTTCGGGCAACCGAATGAGAACCGAACGAAAAACTCGCTGGCGAGAAATATAATACTTCTGTTACCGCGGCCGAAAACACTCGTCTGGACATTCGGCTGCGTGGAAACTCGGTTGAGGTAATTGAGAGAGCAACTGGCTCTGAATAGAAGCCTCCTAGGGAAATGCTTCTGTTCCTACAACCGAGCTTTTTTTTCCTTTTCCATCGCCGGATCGCCAGGTAACAGAAAATTCAGTCGCGCTAACGGAGTTGTTTTTCCCGTGCACGGAAAATAAAGCGGCTTTTACATCGCCGATCTGGACACGCACGGACGAACACGCGCGGAGTGCACTCGGGAGTGCACGCTCGCTGTTGTAACGCGCGCCCCGAGAACCGAGGGGAAAACGTACCTTTATCGGCCGAATGTGCACTTTTTACGAGCCAGAAGGCTCACTATCGGTATCCGGTCGCACGACTTCCGCCTCGAGTACGGTAACACGCTGGAACATCTGCGTCCTCCTTGTTCTCGTCGTCCTTCGCCGTCGCGTTTGCCTGCCTCTCGTTATCTCGTTTATTGAGCGCGATTAAGAACTTTAATTTACAGACCAAGCGTGTCTTTTCGCTCTCACTTGTCCCAATAAAATTTTGTTTCCTTTCAATACTTTCCTGTAGTACTTTTGTATGATTTTCTTCTTTTATGATAATACTTCTCTTCTTTTTATGATAATACTTTTTTACATTAAGATAAAAAATATTTAACAATTGACAAATTATTAGGTGGGTGCTATTAACTTATTTAATTAAATCAAAATTTTCTTTATCTAAATCGAATATTGTTTACTTAAACCGAGTGCTTAAACAATACACAGATGCGAATTGGTTTAAAAATTCGTTTTGACAGATCATAGAGGAAAATACGTGAAAAATAATGAAATTTCCTAGCAGAAATTATAAAAACATTCGAGACGAATCATAAAATTGGTTATCATATGATAGATAAGGATTGCTAATTTTTAGTAAAAAATATAGGGAATACAAGTGAACTACTTCTAATTTACGGAAGTCATTTGTCATAGAAATGTGGGAATTGGCACACCATAACACTTATATACATGAACATAAATAATTGTAACTTGTATATTAGTAATAGTTTATTACCGTTCAGCTACTATCACACTTATATTATTCATTAATGTACACTGAGAAAAAAATTCACTAAATTTCAAAAAACGTTTGTTTAGATTCAACTGTGAACACATTTGTTTAAATTAAGTAATTATTTTCTAAAATTAAATAAAGAAGTTTTAAATATAAATCTCTTTCTCCGATTTTGGAAAATAATTTCTTAATTTAAACAAATATGTTCACAGTTGTATCCAAACAAACGTTTTGTGAAATTTATTAAATTTTTTCTCACTGTATATTTCTTGCCTTCTTGCTTTAGTATTTTATTACCGTTCAGTTACAATAAGGAACTTATTGTTCAGCCAAGAAGGGGACTTGATTTACATTAGGTTATATTTTGTACTCATCCATCCATCCGTCCATACATTTTCCTATTAATCTTATCTGTATTCTATTCTCCTTCGCTTATCGCACTTATCTCTAGCCTATTCTCTCATCACCTTATCACAGCCATTAACATTCTCGCTTTCTTTTAATACCTCCTTTCCATTACAATAAACTATCGCCATTTTGAGAGTGCTCTAAAATACCCTCCGATTGTTTTTTGAATTCTTAAACTAAAACTCTAATTTTTGACTCGATGTCCATTCTTTTTTTTATCTCGATCCACTGTGCGACGGAAAGGAATGCGCGGCCGGCCTTAAGTACGCACGACCGTCGCGAACGTGTCATTCTCATTTCAGCAGGAACAAACGCGGAATTGATTTCAGGTGAAACGCCGGCTGCGAAGGTGCCGCACGTACAGCCGCGCTCGCGTTCACGTGCACACGCACAGCGTCGTACTCCGGCGTCGTGACCGCATAGTTTTCCAGTCACGTCTCCTCCGCGGCACGCTACGTCGTGCCGCTGTTATTCCGCCGTTCGTGCCGCATGCGGTTCCCGTCATTAGCCGCCGGTTTATTATCGCGGATACTTTCCCCGGGACTTGGCGAATCGCGCGACTCCGGCCTGTCGCGGATTGAAATCCGCTACCGTGTACAGTAGTATACATAGACCCCGCATACGGCCAGAAAAGTGAAGTCAACACACTGAGAGAAAAGACTGGTAACTATAACAAACTGCATTTAGTTACAGAAATTCATTGAATCCTTGGTAACTAATACTAAATACGATAATAATTACCAAATATTTAATAGATCGGGAGTATGACGTGATTGCATTCACAGTAACATCAATTAAATAATTTAGTAATAGTTATTTAATGTTAAATATTTAATATGAAATATATTACAGTTATGAACAGATATTTGATAATTGTTATGAAATCGTTATATCCCATATAATAAAAAATTCAGTAGGTACGAGTTCTATTTTGTTACCAGTATAAGTATGTTTTGTTGCAGCACAACGAAAAATTCATTCATTTGCAG